CTGCGCGCATTCGCGCACGTCTCGGTCGGCTTTGCTTCTCGGGCTCGTTTTGGGCTTGTCCGAACTCGGAATTGAGTGTCGTTTTTTTCTATGCGTCGCTAACGAACCCCTCTATTTAATGATGTATGCCAATATAAATGTCTCCCAGAATACAATTATCTATGGATTTTTAACTTCTAAGGTGTCGGCAACTTGCTCGATTTTACGCTTTGGTCCCGTACGAACTCATCCGAACTCGAAATTAAGTTCCACTTTTTCCTGTGTGTAGATAACGAGCTCCTTTATCCAATGATGCTTGAAATCACACTATTGCTCAGAGTACAAATTATGTGGAATTTCCAACCTTTAAAGGGTCGGTAACTTGCGCGGCTTCGCATTTTGATTCCGTCCGGATTCATCCGAACTCGAAACCAAATTCCGTTTTTTCCTATGTGTAGCCAATGAGTCCATCTACATAACCATGATTGCCCGATCTATGTCATTACCTCACGATGCCTCCGACATGCACACGAAAAACAAGAAGAAAAACGGGAAAAACACACGAAAAACATAAAGAAAACCAAAATGGAACAAAACACATAATAAAACACAAAATGAACTAAAAACTCACAAAATGACCTAAAACGAGGAAAAATAAAGGGAAAAGAAGAACAAAAATATAACGAAAAATACAACAAAAATATTACAAACAAAATCACCATTCAAATTTGAGTTAGTCTAAATAATATTTAATCGTCTACATTTTAGTACTTAATTAGTTTAGCAACAATCTCTATGTAATACAACCTTGCTCGCCGCTTACTACAGCTGCACCGTACACTTGCGGGATAGTGAAAATATTTTGCGAACACATACTTCTGCGCCAACTAACTAGACGTTAAATTTACAAAGCCCCACAAATCTTAAACCCAATTTAAACACAATGTAAACCCTAATTTTACAAATATACTATAAATGCGCATAAAAAAATTCCATATAAAATCTAACAGTATCTAGAAGGGGGTAGATGTTCATTTTTCTTTGCTCCCAACTTCATCTTGCAGTCCAAGACACTAATTCCAAGAACATTCTTCTAAACCACTCCCAAATTTTTATCTCATGTTGGCATTTTAGCAGCAGATTTTGGTTTGGGCCATCTTAGTTTGATTTCAGTAATACTAGGGATTTTTAAATTAAAGTTCAAGTTCAATTTGTGTTTCATTCTTTTTCAATTTAATAAAAATGGCATGGGCGATAAAAAGTTTGAAATTCTACGTAAAAATCATTTCATGAAATCAAGTTCTTATCCTTCCACATCGCGTTCCTATTCATCTACGTCGTTTCGATACTAATTCATGTTACTGTTTTATCCGTTGCCACCGCATTAGTATCTATTGATTTATATAAATTGCAACATCACTAACTTTTTTTTTTATATAATGAGAAAGTTAGTGCATCAAATAAAATTTTAACAAGTTCATAGACTAAAATTGAAATTTTGCCCGTTGCATAAAGTCACAAGTGGAATAGTAGTTGTAATATATTTTGAAATTTGTCTAAATTTGGCTAAAAATATTGTCCTAAAAAAGTCAACATATTCGAAGTGAAGATTTTATTTTCTCGTGTGGGGACCAACTTTAATTATCCAAGTTTTTTGTTTCCCTTCGACACATGACGCCACGTGCATCTCAGTGTCCCATCCGCGTAAAAAATTTAATCCTAATTAATCAGGATAACGTTTTAATTAAGATTAATTAATAAATAAAATAAACAACAATGTGCCTTCCCCCTATAAATTCGCCACTCCTCCGTCCCCAAATCTTCACCACAAAACCCTAAATTCGAATTTCATCACTTCTTAACAAGAGAGAGAAAAAGAGAACAATGTCAGGAATCATCCACAAGATCGAGGAGAAGCTCGGCATGGGCGGCCACAAGGAAGGCGAAAAGCACGACGAGCACAAGGCCGCCGCCGCCTCCCACAAACCCGAGCACGGCCACGGCGAGCACAAGCCCGAGCACAAGGAGGGGTTCGTCGACAAGATCAAGGACAAGATCCACGGCGAGGGCGGCGAGCACGGCAAGGACGGCGAGAAGAAGAAGAAGAAGGAGAAGAAGAAGAAGGAAGGCCATGAACACGGCCACAGCAGCAGCAGCGATAGCGACAGCGATTGAAACTCCTTATTCTTCTGAGCAAGGTGAATTTGGGATTCGATTTGTTTTGTCAATTTTCAACTCTCATTTATTTCTTCTTCTTCTTCTTCTTCTTATTTTTTTTCCTGAATCTGCAGGTGAGTTTGAGTGTGTTGCTTTACGGTGCTTTCTACTACTGGTTTGCTGCAAATAAATTCTGAGAATTAGAAAATAAAAAATGATTTGGATCTGTTATGGTGTCGTTGTTGTTATAGTGTTTTACTAAATAGTGTTGCAGAGCTTTGTGGACTGAATGTAATCTACTTCAAGTCTTTACTGGTTGAATGATCTTTGTCTTATTTTGACTTATATGAGTGAAGTGATTGTTTGTTTATGCCATTATCAATTGCTCTTTCCTTCAGCAGAAAGAATAAAAACAGTTTCATATATATATTTTTTTTAATGAATTAAGTTGGGCTGTGATTACAAAGAGAGAGGCTTTGAGGGGAGATCTTTGACCCATTTTAAAAGGCCAAAAGAAAGGTTTGAGATGAAAATCTATGGAAGTGATTTGAACATTCTTTTTTCCTATTTGTTGGAATTTAGTTGGGCGCCCCCTGCACTCCAAGAAGGGCTGGCTATGGCCATCTTCTTACCAGAGAAAGTTTTTATCCCTTCCAGATTTTATCTCTCCTTTCAGGCTTAGTAATGGGGTCTTTTTCTCTCACTATGAATAACCTTTTCTTAATTTACACTTATGAGTCCTTTCTGGCGTCAGAAAATCGTGATAACATATTTGATGTAAGTCCTTTTTGGCGTCAGAAAATCGTGATAACCATATTTGATGTCATTTTTTATTGTGTGATGCAATTTTAGTATGTGCTATCATTTTTACAAATGCTATATATAAACTGTGTTGCTATTTTTAATAAAATATGTTCATGTTAAAAATAGCACTAAAAACAATCAATCACAACAACGTATACAATTAAAAAACAACAGTTTTCACACTGTTCTCATTTGAACCACATCATCACATGAGAATGATTCTTAGTGGATCGCATGATCCAACAACTTATAAAAAAAATCAAAATTATATTTTATTAAGGGTATTAGAGTAATTTTATACATCATATTAAACAGCAGATGACCCACTACATATTAAATAAATCTGCCCCAACTACTCTCTCTCTCTCTCTTACCATACCCTCTCTCCCCGTCACTCTCCTTCTCTCTCATCCACACACACAAACACAAGCCACGTCACCCTTCTACACACAAAACACACGCCACACACACAGAAGACACACACACACACGCGAACGACACATGCACGCACACACACACACACAGCACACAAAAAACACACACACACATAGGCAGAACACAAAAACACATTCAGAACACACACACATCTAATACATATCACCAAGACAGCCGTCGGCCTCCAACCTCTGCCACAACCAACGACTCCGACTCTGACTCCGCCGTCGCCGACCGTCCGCAGACCGCTGACCTCCGCCGCAGCCATCGCCTCCTCCTCTATTTTCGCCATCGTCGACCATTCCTCTCCCGCCGGACTAGCCATCTCGCGATAAACGCCACAGCCATCGACTCCGCCTTCCGCCTCCGCCGTCACAGACCACCCGCTGACCGTCGGCCTCCGCCACAACCACTGTCTCCGCCATCGACGACCCTTTATCTCCCGCTGGTCTGACATCATGAACGGCCGAACCGTTTCTATGCCGCATTGATCGTCGGCTCAACTCACTGCCGCCCTCGAATCTCGCCGGAGCACGTCGTCTTCGCCTGATTCGGTGATGTAGCCTTCGACGCCATCGACGAGCCCAACGCCGGCGAGACGATGAGTGAGCTGCGTGTGATTTTTTTATTTTATTTTTTATTTTTTTTATCAGTCTTAATCCCATGGAGGTGGAGGTGGATGTGTGTTTTTGTGTGTGTGTGTGTGTGTGCGCGCGCGACGTTCGGCAGCCATTGGCGGAGTGCGGTGGGTGGCAGAAGGAACTACTTGTGTAGGATTTAGGGGCTTGCAACTTGAAAATTTAATAACTCTTAGGGACTTGAGCACAATTTCTAAACTTTTAATATATTTCAATTGAGTCCGTGGGTCAAATGTGTAATATATATAAAATATATATAAAGTATTATTTTTGAATATTAAATAAAATTAAGTTTTATTGCACTTTATATAACCAAATATTGCACTGTATAAAACAACACATTGCACCTTATAAAATAACATGTTTTAAATAATCAATCGAACTATATATTTGTTGTTATGTGGACTAGAACTATGGGTTTATATTGATGCGGGATCGATTTAGATGTATAATTAACGAAAAGTGCGTAATAAAAGGAAGACGATGGCCCCGGTCCGAGGTGAACCGAGGTGAAAGCTGTTTGAGCTGTTTCGTGTATATGACAAACAGTCGGAGTCCGATCCTTGTACAAGTGTGAGAATCAGCTATTTACAGTAAACTTTTTGTCTCTAGAATCGAGAAATGTACGGTAGCTTTTCTTTATAAAGTAACTTTATGGGCGGCGCTTGTCAGTTGGGTCCACTTGTAATCATGAAATAGGTCTTGGTTTGCGCACGCATCATGAGGGTGTTGTCACCAGCTTTGATTTTTGTGAACTCGATTTTGGTCGACCTCGGTATGTCGGTTTTGACCTCGGTTTGGTACAATCCGGTTGGTTCTTCAAAATCGGTCCAAAGTTGTGAACTATTTGGTGTTGTGGACCGAAGTAGGGCTACTTGGTGCTGAGTAATTACTTGGGTAGTATGGATTAATGAGTTGAGTAATAACAGAGAGGCCCCCATTGTTAGCGGTTATATGATAATGATAATCGCTGACAATGTAGAGGTTTATAACAAAAGTCTAATCTGAGAGAAGTCCCAGACTTAGTCATGATTGTGTCAGGATTGCTTTACTCTGGTACCACAAAGATGTATAGATACCGAGATGAAAGTACTTGGCGTGGTGACTTGATTTGGGAATGGTAGTAGATGCTTTAACTTCTGAAACGACGCAATGACTATTCTCATTAATTCGGGTGACGTATAGCGAAAAGCCGCAATGGATTAAAGGCGAGTAACGGTTGCCTTCGTAGGCCGACACGTATGGTATAGGTTCTGACAGTGGAAAGGTCGTGGCGCTTGGGGTAACGGGGAGCGTGATTCCTACGCGCCCCTAATTAAATGACCCAACGGTCATAATTTGTTGACTATAAATTGAAATCCTCAAACTCTGGCAGGATTTTTAACTTTTACTAATTCCAAATTATGCGCATCACTTTTGAAGTGTGAAGGCTGTAATTTTCTTTCAAGAGTTTATCTCTCGATTCGCTTGAGATTCTCGGGTCTACGTTGTCTCTGTGTTTCGTGAATTGTAGGGTAAGCTTTATCTGCATATTTCAATTCTTGCATTTCATTTTTTCAACTTTGTTTTTCGATCTTCGGAGATAAGTCATGGCTTCGAAGAACACTGGTGGTGAAGAGTCTTCAGATAGGACTGTTTCAGAATCAGTCGCGATGTATCATGATTCTGAACTCGTGGAGTTGGCATACAAATATTACCGATGGGATTCGAGTTATGTTGTTCATCTAGAGGTCAAGCCGAATAGTACCGAGGAGGATGAGTTGGTTGAGGCAAACGCAATGGTGTTAGAGAATCATTGGAAACGACCGGAAAGGAGGTGGCCTGATGCAGCTATAGATTATGAGGGTGAACCGAGCATTCTAACCGATGCGGATGTGGTTCTATTACGAGAACAAATTCGAGTCCCTTCGTCGGTTAAACTGTTCGCTCCTTATCTGGGTGAGAGGATCATTTTCCCTCCTCCGGGTTGCGTTGGGGGTTTTTGCCGAGTCTCTCAGGTCGGGATTGAGATTTCCACTGCCAAACATAATTACAGATTATTTGAGGGACTGGGGTCTCGCTCTCTGTCAGATCACTCCGAACAGTTGAAAAAAGATTATAGGATTGATGGTATTGACGCATGAAAAGAGGTATGGATTGTTGTCATGTGCAGATATAAGGAGCATTTACACCATGAAGAGGAGTTCAAACAGGCTTTTTTGCCGGTGCAAAGGCTGGTACTGGCTTTAAGATTGGTGACTTGATTAAAGATGTTCCAGACACTCTTCATGGGTTTCAGGAAGAGTGGTTATGGGTAGGAGGTGACTGGCAATCTGCAGATTTTGCCGAGGAGACTCATGTAGATAATATGACTATACCCATGAATTTTTATTTCGGATACTGTAAGTTCTTTTTGATACTTTTTATGTTCGATTTTTTTGACTAGTTGTATTTCATGTACTAACAGGTCGAATTTTCGTGTTTGTAGCAAAGTGGACAAAGGAGCCGAAGTTGAGCCCGGAATTCGGAGGGGTGTTGGCTACTTTGTTCAAACTGAAGGATTCTTTGCGGAGTTACAAGGACTTGATCTCGGAGGCGAGGCTTGAATCAGCGGGATTATCTCCGGCAGCCGTTGACACTCTATTTAAGCCTGGTGATTGGAGACATTTTGTAGAATCTTTCATTTAAATCTCAGAATTGAACTTTTAACTTAATAACCTCTGTCTTTATCTCAGTGTACTACCCTTTGCTCGGCTTTTCGGGATTCAAGACGATTGAAGCAGCAAAGGACTTTCGGCAACGTTTCCCAAACAAAGAACTTCGGAGCAAGATCGGAAAAAGTCGTTCACAGAGATTGACAAGCATGATGAGAAGGAATTTAGTCAAAGCTTTGAGGCAAAGATCAGCTGCGCCGAAATCTCTTGAAACCGGGGCTCACACAACTCCAGTAGTGGATTTGGAGAATCCGGATGGCCCCGAAGAAGTCGGTAATTCGGATATGGTTCCAACTCTGAATGTGGAGGCTAATTTGGAAGCGGTTGTTCAGACTGAGCCGGAGATAGATGTTAATTTGACCGAGTTACCTTTAGTGCATGTTTCGACCGAGCAGGCATTATTGGGAACTGGAGAGAAACAATCGTCTCTAAAGTCAGAGGAGGTTTC